GGTTAGATCTGAAAGCAGTGAGGTTCAGTTTTCTCGCAAATGGACACAGCAGCGGGGTACTTCGGGGATTTTTTTAAATAACGAATTATTCCTTACGACGAATTTTAAATAGTACTGTACTCTTCGATATAGCCACGATGTTATTTACATTTTTATGACTTTTTATAGCAAGGCAGTTTTACTGGTCCGAAAAAAATCGATTGTTGGAAGAAAACATTTTTTCAGGTCAGCATTTATTTCAGCTTTCGAAAATTGTTCAACCTTTACAATACGTCGGATGCTTCCGGCTTGTCTATTTCCGTTTCGTCGAACGATGACTCTGAAGGCAGAATACTGCACGAACCAATGCCAAGCCAACGATTTTCCAGAGAAGATTTTACAAATTTACATTGCACTGAAATTGTTTTCAATATCACGAACTCCGATTTGGTTCGATTCAATTCCGGAGACGTCCGATTTTATCAAGTACTGCATTTCAGCAGAACGTGAATTAGTAAATTTTGTGAGAACCGGTTATTTGAAGTAAAAATGTACGCTGGTATCGTATCCACAATCGAGTAAGAATATATTTGGCTACAGCTTCCTGCATATCATCGATTTTGAAAGCTTGATAGAGGTTTATCAATATGTTCGTAATACTGTATTAACAAAAATACCGCATGTATAAAAAATATATATATAATGATGTAATAATCTATCTTTTTTTTCCAAAAAAAAATTTACCTCTTTTCGTCTGGAGAGGTTTCCTTTCTATTGGAAAGACCGTGTCTTTCTGTATGGTTACCAGAATGGTTGTTGAATATTTTAGAATCAAATGTGTAATGGTTATTGCGGAATTTTTATGGTTGAGGGGACTGCTGTTCATTTTCAAAATAATTTACTAGGGTGAAGTGTGGGAGGAATAATACCGTACCATGTTCGAAAATCCTTGTGAAGATAACTGGTGTGTTACAAGGTGCATTACTTCGTAAAACTCATTTTCTGATGAAACCTTTCTGAGGACATCTCAAGCAATGTCTGCAAATGAGAGGCCTCATTCAATAATTGAGTCTGGTTTGAAGATAATGTAAGATGATGAAAAGTCATATTTTCGATAGAAATGGGCTGAGACATTTTTATTTAGAACGAGCAAGTTTACGTCCGATCGAGGATTTTAGTTTTTTTTTTCTGTAATTACATGCGCGAAAAGGAATTTTTGCGCATGCTCTTGAAAGCAAATTGCTGACTGTATTCGTTCCACCTCGGCAAGTTTGTTATTGGTTATTCTGTCTTCTCATCTGCAGATTTTAGGCTAATAAAGTGGTTTGGAAAATTGATGCGGTGAATGTGCCTTTCCTCTGTGATTGATGAGAGCTCGATGTCCTGTGGTGTGAAAGATTGGAGTAACCGCAGGCCAATATTTTCTGATTTGGTGTCCTGACGTCACGAAATATGCCTTTTGCCCTTTTCTGGACAGAATTTCTCTTGCTTTTCCTTTTTTAAGAAATCGAATAACTACTACTGTATTTCTCTCGTCTTTGGGGTGCATGAATGAATATTTGTGCCTTCTTCCCTAGAAATCTGCTGACGTCGTTCTATGGTGAATGAAACCACGTCCTCGTGAGAAAAAGTCGAGATGATACGAAGTGCTTTCGCGGGTCGTTGGGCTCAGATATGGGCTGTTAAACCTGTGGTACGCCCACTACTGCGGGTTATTTGGTACCTCGCAGGTGGTAACATTTTCTTATCACCCGATGCAGGTGGTAGCACTTCCATATTTCCCAGCGGGCTATCGACGCCTTTCTGAGTATTTTCTGGTACTTGTGTACTATGGCTGTTCAAACACATTTCCGTGGAGGCTTAGAAAGGAAACAGAACAAAAATTTATAACAAAAATAAAAGAAAAAAATAAATAAAAGCAATAATAGAAAGAAAGTAAGGCGAGAGTATTTACCTGAATTTTTTAAATGATCCCACTGTCTCTTCCAAATTACAACATTTTGTCGTGCAGTCCAATGTATTCATCAGAATTCCTTTTTTTGGTTGTTCAAGGATAATCAAATTTTTTTCATTTATGAAGCGTCAGGGAACCATCAAAATCCAGTCCATTGTTCTTGGAAAGGAATAATTTCCATATGGGGTTGCTTTTCGTTGGACCATACAGATATCTGCCATAGCTAATTCAGTTCTCAATACCCAAATTTCTGTATTTCTTTTGATCTCCAGTTTTTTTTTCCGTCGGCATGCGTTTTCCTGTGATTCAACTCGAAAATTCACATTTCGAAGACCTCCTCTTTTGTTGTATTTTTAATTTCAGGTGACCTTTGAAAGTTGAAGGTAGAAGATACAGTATATGTGTTTAGCATTCGTCAGAAGAATATTTGACTTAAAATATTCCACATCTACCCTGGATGTAAAGCCCGTTGAATCTACTTGAGCCAAAAATAAGTAAATCTGGAAATTTCACTGCGCGAAAGTTCAAAAATCTTCGTTCTGACCGTTTTAATCGTTGAATAATTTGAAAAGTATTCGTTCTGAGGTGACAAAAGCGTCACTGGGCAACAAGGCGATCTATACATAGCTTCATTCTAGGCCGGACATGTCATGGCAGGAATTTTGCAACGACGATCGAATATCCTTTTGTCTCCTGACTTATTTCTTCCTAGTTTTTTCCATCGCCACTTCTATTGTTTTCCTCGGCTGTGTAATTCCGAAGCTGGCTGCGGCGTAACCTGAAGCGGAAGGCCGGAGTGCTGAATAATGTTTCTCTCGCCGCGGCATCCGGAGTATTTTGCAGTGCGACTTGGGGGGGAAAGAAAAACTTGACGTTATTCGTCTTGGCAGGCTTTTTTTTCTCTGTTTATTTTTATTTTTTGTTTTGCCTTGTTTCGTTGCACATTTCCACCCCCGGCTTGGCTGAAATCGCGCTGGGCTGGTGAATTATTCAGGAGGCTCTCACGGAGAAAGAGGTTTTTGGATTCGATTTTCCTCTCGGCGAAATATGTGACGTCCTTTTTTTTTTCTACGCTTTGTACCGTTCAGTCTAATATGTCTCTTTTGCGTCTAGATAATATATTTATCCCGTCTGAGAAGTGCGGTTCAGACAGGTTGCTTCGACCTCTTTTTCAAGTTTCAACTCGATCGATGTACCGATTTCGCTTGAGGGGAGAAAACCCCGGGCAGCAAGTTTTAAAGTGCTTTCAACTCTCTAGCCTCAAAACGTCGTTTTGAAGCTTCTTTAGAGTGAAGGACAGCAAATAAATCTCAGAAGTCGTATGTGATAGCTCATAGCTGACATGGAACGTTCCATTCCTAGAAAAATTGATTCGCGGTTCTCGTTTTTACGTTTGAAACTTGGAAGAAACAGACTTTGTATGGATTCTCTCCGCAGCTTGTAATGAAAGCAAGACTGAAATTCCAATGTAGAAATCTTTTCTTGAATGTATCCAACGTGAAAATTGCATGAAGACAACGCGTATTTTTTTAAATGTCAAATGTAGAAAGTCGCTGTTTGTCTATCGATCAGTAAAAAGAAATGAGTCCTTTAAAGCTTGAGGAGCTTCTTCCCTTGTATGCCATTCAGGAATAGTTCGTTTTGCTCCAGGGATTCCTTGGATCCCCGTGAAGAGACAAACGTTCGTTAGTCACTTCGAAAGGAATTGGAGCTAAGCTGCTCGAAACACACGATCGGCTTTTCTGGTGTTTTTCTTGGCGTTGCAGAAATTCCTGAGCTTGTTTGTGTCTTTATTTTTCTTCGCATCGCAGAATTCGGGGAATGCCTGAGTGTTTGACCGATTTAGTGAGCGAGCTTCTTTATTCCTGTCTTCGTCTTATAGTACAGTACTGTATATTGTTTGTCAGCTCGTTCAAAGCTTCCTGTGATGATTGAACTTTTGAAGAAAAAGTCTCATCGTGGCAAGTCTAAAAAGTAGAGGTTGGCTCATGTTGGGTTAGATATAAGTTTTGGAAAGTTTGTCTGCATCGTATTACAGTAGTTTTGTTTATTTTGTTATGATAGGGTTGAAGATTACGATTATTAGTAAGTTACGTTATTTTTGCTGTCTGTTAAAGGAGGCCTCTCTGTATAACGGAATCCAGGGAACCAGTGAACAGTTCTTGGTAGAGAGAATTACGATGTAGATAACCCCTGAATAAGATTGATAGATAACCCTATGGGACCACGCAACATTTTTTATGCAGAGAAAATCTTCGCAGTTCCAGACAAGATCAAGTATTCCATCTTCATTAATTTAAAACTAGACAGGAACATAAGAACAGGATTCCTGTTTGATTATCTGCTGTAAAGTCCAAGTACTGTAATCATGTCGGGTCAGTTAGGAAAAATTCGTCGGAAAAAGTTATGATTTCTTTTTTAAACATTCTTCTTTTATAGGTACGTTGTTGTTTGGTACCGCGTAATCTTGATCAAAGCGTAAAACGAGAGTTGGCTTCCTTGCGTGCTCAAAAAAGGGGCTCTGCTCGTTTTCATCTTCATTTGCTCACTTTTTCCGCTTCAGAAGTAACTGCATTTTTGCGTTTCGCAAAGCACGCGATTAGGACGAAAGGTCGGAGGGGGGGGGGTCGGGTAATTTTATTACACCTTTATCCATTCATCGTGAGAGTGAAGCAGCGCTTGTTTGCAACATTGAAAACTTTCTGCATCATTTCTTTTCCCGGAGATAAATTGGATTCATTCACGTGCCAGTGGACAATGTCCATGTTCCGACTTTTCTTCTTCATTTGTTAGGGGGTATCAGGAAGGGGAGGCGTGTTTTTCGAGACCCTCGTTTTCGTGGCAGCCACGACGAATTGCATTTACGTCGCGATTGAGGCACAATTTTCTGGCGTTGATTTGATTGCGTGGATTCCGTTGAGGGTCTACGGACTCTGACGTGTCGAGCGGTGAACAAAAATGGCCACGTGTTGGACGAATGATGGGGTGGCTCTTTTGTCCGGGGGGATGCTCCTGAGTTTTAGGATTCCTCCTTGCAATTTTTCTTCTTCTTTTTTTGCCGGTTCGAATGGAAGGGAAATCATATTTTCCGCTGCTCGCTTTGCCCTTATGGCGTGTTTCGGGGGTCGTACGTACGATGTATTCGATTATCGACAGCTGTTGACGCGTGCAATTTCGGCGGGGGTCCAGAATAGGTAGGTTATTGGGCAAGTTCCTGGAATATCCTCTCCGAGGTAAATCGGATTCAATTTTGCTGATTTTTATTGTTGCTCGGAGGTTACATCTTTTTTTTTTAAGGCGAGATGAAGCGAAAGTTTGCGTTTTTTTAGGGAGTACGTCAGCTCATCGCGGATTCCGATTAAAACATCCAGACTTTGAGCTTCATCGATTTCCGCATTCAGTCGTATTTGTGTCCAACTGTTATTTTTCATTAATAAGTTTTAATTGAATAGAAACCGCTCTTCCAGAAATGTGTACAACTTCGTGACGGTGCGGAGTTCCAATAAGCTTGCCTCTTTTCCGAAAAGTCTGTCAGTGACTCATTTGTGCTGCTTTCGTTCTTTGTCGAAATTAGCGAATTTATGTGATTTTTCTAATTATTCCTATTCCATCGATGTGTATAAAAGGGATTATTATTTTCGTGGATCTACGGCAGAAATTTTGATTTGCATGGGAGTGGGTCGAGAAAACAGCGTACGAGTTTTCCTTGTTTCTAGTTTTACAGTTGCATTTGGACGGGAAAATCCCTGACCTCGTCCGGTGTGTCCTGATCGAATTCGTGATTGAGAATTCCGTCAACTAATTCGTCTCTCTTCATTTTTTTTTTTGTCACCAGTGTTACGAGAAGATTCTACAACTAGACCCAGAGAACGTGCAGGGCCTTCATAACCTCTGCGTTGTGCACGTGGAACGCGGGGATCTTGCCAATGCGGAAAGGTGCTTTCAGGAGGCGCACGAAATGGCGCCCGACGAAGGCTACATCCTCAAACATTTGCAAATCGTGCGCTCCAAGCTTTATGCTCCTTTGCCGTCATCATCATCATCAGGAGCAGCATCAGCGCCAGCATCCAGATCTTCGTCATTTTCTTGCACATCAAGCTCGTGCATAGATGCTGGAAAAGCCGCGAAATTGCCTCCGTGACGACCAGGGCGTGGAGGGTTAGATTTATTCAACTTTTTTCCGCTCCCACCGGTACGTTCTGTTGCGTAAATTTCGGACAACTGCGGTCGTGTGAAATTACCGTGAGAAAGAATTTCAGAAATGATGATGAGGATGAGGCTAGATTACTCTTTTGTTTTGTATGACCTGATTTCTGTGCGGAGGAAAGGAACAGCGTTGATGTGTGTTCGATGAACTGCCAAATTTTTGCTACGCGGTTGAGTTTTCGCGGAGACGAGCTTTTGTAGCGAGTTCTATTTCCGAGTCTAGTTCGAAATTTTCAGTTGTCCTTTTCGTTTGCTTGAATATTTCGTAGCGCTGTTGTGACGCATTTGCTTCTTCACTCTCCTTTGAATGTGTTTGGAGTAATGAGTCAAGTGATGCAATTTTTTTTTTAGTAATCAACGACGATAAGTTGAATGACTGGTGGGACTAGGAAGCAGGTGTAACCGTTTGTTGAAAGAAAACCTTTCATTTTCTTCCTTGTGACTGAAAATCGAGCGAGTTTATTTTGCAGTGTTGGAAAATTGTGGGTGGGAATCTATTTTGCTTTCATGGGCCCCTGCACGGCTGGGATGATTGAGAAAATTTCGATTCACCCACACGGATTGGGCCTCGTTTTTGTCATTTTTCTCTAATTTTTGCCCGTGAATTTTTGAGAGGTGAAGATGGAATGTTTGCGTGCGAGGGATTTCTCGTTCGTATTCTCCGTGACAAATGGAAACTGTGATCGAGTTGCGTGAAAAACTTTTTTTTTGCTGAATGGCGCGCTTGCGCTGCCGGGAGGACTTGAATGTGCTCCCTCGGTACACACTGAAAATCTTTGTTTCGTTTCGTGCTGAACAGAGCGTGGGAAGACAAATGCAAAAAAAAAGAGAGACAAAATTTGAATCTCCTAACAAATCCACTTGGTGTTTCATTTCTTTTTCTGATTGACCCTGAGAAAACGAAGGGAAACGTCAGCCGGAGCTAGTGCAATTCTGAATTTTTTCCCTGAATGGGTTGTTCACCGATTAAATCTCTTTGAATGAATTTTCAAGTGATTTTAACATTTTATTGCAATAAGCATAGATTCAATTGGTAATGAGTAAAATTCTTATTTTATTCTCAATTTCTTTGTTATGTTTATCGATAAATGTTTCCTCTATAGTAGCATTGGTCTGACCACCGTGGGGATTCGAAGTAGGAACTGCCCGTCGATGAAATGAAGATACTTCTTGGAACAAATCTATGATATCATTCGAAAGAGACATTGCATAATTTAAACTTGAAGTGCGTTCGATATTGCGCATCCAAGCGTTCAAAGGACATTGCTTTGAAAATATTTTAATTTTTGCAAGCAAACCCTGTATTTTCTTGTAATACGATTTATCAAAAATAAAGTGTTCCCATTTCGGCAGTAGTTTCTGGATGCATAGTAATTAACCAGTAATCAATTTTGTATTTTTATCTAAGCTGAATTTATCATCGTTTAAGACATTTCCAAACTCTTTCTTCAATTCCACGCTACATTTGTACATGACAGTCTACACTTTACATGAAGATTTTTTTCCGTTTGTTAATTGTTGGAGTTCATTTTTTCAGAACGAAAATTGAATAACTGTTTTTTTCCGGTGCATGCTGGTTGCTCCGAACACTCGGATGATGAAATTTTTTTTTACTGAATGGTCTGCTTTTGTATGTCAACATCGTACATGCCTTACATTATTTTCTTGGTAGTTTTACGTAACAGAAATTACATTAGTTCGCTATAAATACAGTATTTAGAACATGCTCTCACTTCGTATAAACGTCATTCCGATGGAGACGAGTGCATAACTGTTGGCCATTCCACAGGATCGATGTTCGACGGACGCATGTAGTTTAATACTGTATTCCGAATTACGCAGTAATCTCCACCAAATATGGATGTTGAGACGACATTCATCACTTGAGTACCATCAAAGGACGAATTCGCTGTCGATAAAATGCTCGAGGCGATGATCCATGAGCCATTCCGTTGACGATTATCGCTGCGATCTCTCTCGTAATCCCCATTCAGGGGATCAAGACCCGTTGCTCAGATGTGCTCGTTTGGAATGCTGATGAATTCCAGTGATTCTAATGATTATCCCATTCAGTCCTTGGTTGACGTCATTACTGAAAGGTCAACCGAGTGCATTAACAACCGCCCGCAGACTTCGATATTTGTAGCGAACCTTCGTGAATGCAACGAACTTGGTCTGATTTCTGCGCAGAAAAAAATTGCTGAAAGGAATAAGTGTGTCTCCTTATTTCTGCGTTTTCCTCGGGCTGACGAATATATTTTGCTACTTCCATCCAACACAGCGTACTCCTTTTGTCATAATTCCGAAAATAGATTGATAAATTATGCATATGCAAATATTGACCAGCCTTTGCATTGCGAAAAGTCCGCCAAGGCCATAAGTGTGCGAGTTTCACAATGGTACTTTCTTTTGTTGTACCCAGTCGAAGAAGGATTCCTATATACGTAGCTTGTTTTCTGTGGGAACACACGACTGCTGATTCATGGTACAGTACTCTACTGTGCGACGAGCGGATGAAACGGTTTGCCCGCACACTAAGATGCTCATCATGCACGTGCTAAACAAGTAAGGCCACAACATTTGCCGACGCAGTACTGACAGTCATGGAACTGCCCTGGCAAAAGACTCATTTCCCCCGCTGTTCTGTGTTCACGTCAGAAGAAAGAGGAAATTGAGCATGCGACTCAAAGATACGGCCTCATCACATCCAGCGTCGGAAATGCTTTTTCTCTCGCATGTGATCCAGGCTTTTTCATTCGTATGTTTCTGCACAATAACCATATAGTCAATGGCAGAGTGCGGCGTAAGATCAACGCGATGGTAATGAAGAGCATCCACCTCGGGGTTGAGCTGAATAACGTGATTGAACCGCATTCTTCCGAATAATGAATTTCTTGTGCAGAATTATGATAAAGGAGAACGACTTGTGTGATGGATCGCATTCTTCGCAGAAAGAATAGAAACAACCTTTTTTTTACTGTATATAGTAATCGGAAGTTTATTCTTTGTAGCGTTCATTTCTGCGGGATTAATTGCATAAACCGGCGGTGGAGTCTTTCGCAAAGATCTCGGGGGAAATTTTGCCTAATCTCATTCATGTTACACGTGCAAGCAACGATTCGAAATGTGCAGTAATTTCATAAGAAAAACTAGTTTGATTCATACGTTTTCAATATTAAAAATTAATCTATCCACGGAAACGGTGAAGTGAAATGATTTGCCGAGCGGAGGTTCGCATGCCTTATTTTGAAAAGTTAAAGCTCTAGCATTAATTTTTATTTCACGGCTGTTTGATGAAGCTTTCTGCTAAAAAAAATAAAAAATAAAAAAATAACAGACATGAGAACAAAATGTGAATATGGGTTCTCATGTTTTTCCGCTTATATATTCCTATCCGCCCTTTCTTGTAAGACCAAATTAATGGGTTCGCCTCCTAATTTGGCTTTGGTATAATTAGAACCTTCTGCTCATTGATTTTCTACAATGCAAGTGTATAATAATAATGCCACAAAACCTGGCGGGTGAGGATTAAAATAAGTATAATAAGCCGATCAGAATATTTTTGGCGTTTGCAAGTTTAAGTGGAAATTTTTTCTTAGAAAAAATTCACGTCACTTACACTCGTCAGTTTTTTAACTTACGGGTTTTTCAAGATGTTGAAATTTTCTTGTATTTTATATCTGTATGATTTTCAATTTATTGGAATAGCAAATACTGTACTGTGACTTTAGATTACATTTTTGCCGTTCTTCATAAGGTTCCCAGAAAAATGCATTTCAGGTGAATTCAGAGCCATAACTTCGAACATTGCGGAACTTTACCGTATATTGCAGTATGGGTACATCCACTCAAAAACTTTTTTCCGATCAAAAAGTAGTACAGTACAGAACTCCTGTGTGGAAAGATTTGTAAATTTAAAAGTTTCTTTTTGAATAATCAATACCTGATGGGAACGTATCTTGTTTCACTTTCGTCTAGAATTGCCATATCAGTAAAATTCTCAGCTTCTATTTGTGTACATTATTGCCAAAATAATTTCAAACATTTTCCGGGTGAGCAGCTTTCCTCCCGAAATCGCTGCTTATACTGTAATGTGAAATCCGGGTGCATTGCTGCCTGAACTCGATAATCTCATAGAAACCCAGAATTACCTGTGAAAACACGCGGAAAGAACATCCGCGAGGCAGCGGAGTTCGACGAAAATCCCTTCGAAATACGAATCATCCCTTATTTTCAAGCCCAAAATAAATAAATGAAATGCTCGCATGCATCACGCGTATCTCTCAACAACAAGTTTCGACGACGAGGCGGATGATGGGGAACACGGAGACGCCGTGGGGTGGGCCTCGGAATCATTCACACAGCCTGGCATGAATGCGGAATGTCGGCAGCACTCTTCAACGCAAGCCGGCTTGCAACAAAGGCTTTCACTGGATGTCCACCGGATTATGGAAAACCGCTGCAGACCGCTTCTGAGAAGGAAGGGGGAGGATAAACGAAAACGCCAGGGGCGAGCAGCAATGCGGATTTCCGGTTCGGGACAGGGGGTGCCCGGAAGCAGATATATAATAATGCCGTCAACTGAGCGCCACCCAACTGAACGCCAGGCGCCGAAAGACGAACAGTAGCCCAGAAGAGTTACCAGGAATTGCGCAAACTAAGACTCAAGAAATTACCTCGATTTTAGGAATTCGTGATATTCTTTTTTCATTTCATATTAACGGAAGTAGCAGTGGATCGCCTCTTGATATTCAAAAAAATTAGATGGAAACTCATTATTCATGCCAAAATGTACAATACTGAGATGAATTTTCTTTCAATACCCAGCACATAGTGATTTAATATTTTCATTTTATTTTATACCTGCCAGAAGGTGTTCAATGGAAGTGTGTAATAAAAGGGGTGATGTGGGAAAATATTTTTGAACCTTGTGGTTGCTGGCAAGTGGCAAAATAAAGCTTGTATATCAATCAATCAATCAATCTTGATATTAAAAATGGTTCTTGGCAGGTTTTGTGAAATTCATAGAACTTCTCTTTCAAAAATTTTCAAAAAATTATTTATTCAGGATGAAGCGCAAACTTGGTAGAGGTGGTACCTTGCAATTTGACCTCCCACAATTTGACAATCAAATATGCTGGGAGGTCAACTCTCAATTTGACCTCTGCCAAGCAATTTAACCTGTGGATAGACATGAAACATCAAAATCCATGTAGAAAACATGCCATTTGGCTTGGTCTTGCAATGCAACCACTTTGCAATTTTACCCTAGTCCAGCAATGTATTAGGGTCAAATTGCAAGGTACCACCTGTAACAACAGAATACATTTGGAGTATTCGAAATTATATTTCATCAAGTAATGAGAACCAAGAAGACCAGAGTTGCCACATACAAGTGATCCAACACACATGTAATAGAGAGACAAAGCTCAATGGCACGCAGATTTATTTATTTTCCATGATGACCTTGCAATGATCATGATGTGTCCGACGATCAGTTGTCCTTGGCGCGCTTTGCACTTTACCCTGCACCAACTGCAGTAAGTGCTGTCAGCTGAGCTTTCGCGTCTTGCGGTTTGCCGAGCGGAAGTTACTGAAGAAACGCGTGCCAGTTTGTGTGAGCTTGCGATCCCGGATTTCTAGTGGTTTTCGCTTCAGTTTCAATCCTTTTGTGCCATTCCCTTTTGTTGATGATGAAAAGGTAACAATTGACCATATGCTTTTGAGGCACATCTTGCACTGATCGAAAAAGGAATCTTCGCATGTTATTCTCCCCTTCTTACTGTACATGGCGAATTAAACTTGGGATTTTCTAATTTTTTTGTAGTAGAACGAGATTTTGGCTAAATTCAAAAA